ATACTGAACAGAGTGGGTGGCGATGGCCAAGCATATCTAGAGAAATTTCTTGAGTACCTAAAAACTTCATTTTAACGTAGAAAAATAGATATCGGTTAACATTTTAAGTTTTTTTGGTGATAAACTATTCAAATTATTTGTGCTTGCATGATAATCAATCACTATTTATAGAAAAAAAAATTCACACTTTTTACTCGGAAATATTTTTTTTTTCTTTCTAATGGCAGGCACTGAATTTGAATCTTTGCCTATACTATGCCAGAGTTTTTGCTCATTTCGCGTTACCCAGTGGGCACCTGTGAACCAAAGTCACGGAGGCGAGCAACATTGCCCACGCCACACTGCCACAAACCCTTATAGGGTGGGCCACATTCACACACACACACAACAGAGGACAGCACAAAGAGAGAGAGAAACATCCATGCCCAGAGCGGGATTCGAACCCGCAGCCTATGGCTTCGCAGTCAGGCACGCTAACCGCTCGGCCACCTGGCCGGCTACTCGGAAATATATTTTTTCTAAAAAATATAGAATGCAATGTTTTTACTTTTAATTTTTTTTAAGTTCAATTTCTGAAAATTAAGACTCTCAAGGGCCCCCAGAGCGGTTGAGGCCACCGGGCACTGCCCAGGTGATCCCGTTCGTAAAGACGGTACCCTGCAGAGGATTCTCTACAAGGTAAAAATTTTACTTTACCCTAGCATTCACATAATAATAGTTTCCTAAATACTATTGTGATCTATTAATTCCTGGAAATAAAGTTTTATTTTGTGCAGTCGCCGATATGGATCAGTTGATTCTATGTAAAATCTTAATTATCAGGTCATACTGTACAGCTTTATTGTTTTTACTCGACTAATTTGTACTTGTTTACGTTAGTTTTTTATTTTTATTTTTTTTATTTTTATTTTATAACCGTCGTTGAACAGCCGACCCAATTTCATGGGTTTACGACTACTTACGTTCAACTCCGTAGCCTTGTAATTTGGAACCAATCCAGAAGACAAGGAAACTCCTGGATCAGTACCCCCAGAGGTTTTGATTTGTTGTGGGAACATGAAGGACTTTGAGACTCGACAGATTTAACGTGCATCAGTCACCATTTACTACACGGGGAGTCTTC